AAACTTTTCGTGTTTCTTTATTTTTGAGAGAGAGAGAGAGAGACAGAGCGTGAGCAGGGGAGGGGCAGGGAGGGAGTGGGACACAGAGTCCAAAGTAGGCTCCAGGCTCCGAGCTGGCAGCCCAGAGCCTGACACGGGGCTCGAACCCGCGACCCGTGAGATCGTGACCCGAGCCGAAGTCGGACGCTTAACCGACTGGGCCACCCAGGCGCCCTATCATTTTAATGTTTTATTTTGTATACTAATAGTTGGTTATGTAGTTATAACATTATTCGTGTTTTATAATTGTTTCGTAAGACGCTCCGTCTCCTGGTTTCTCATGGGGGTGAAGGTCCTCTGCTCACCGCCTCCGCAGGGCTCTTTTCTTCACTTGTATTACGTCCGGGGGACGCGGGGCCCAGAACTGGGGAGCTTTTAGGAAGACCTCTGGGTCTTCCTAAAGACCCAGACTCTGGGTTGTTCCTGATGTTGGCTCAGGTCCTGATCTCACGATTCGTGAGCTCGAGGTCTGCGGTGATGGTGCGGAGGCTGCTGGGGATTCTGTCTCTCTCTCTCTGTCTCTCTGATTTGAAATAAAGATGAGGAAACATTAAACATTTTTTTGTTGTTGTTGTCTAAAGAAATAAGTGAGATTCGTGGCATGGGAGTCAGAGGAGAGGGTTAAGATCCCACCCTGAGCTCTGTCTGCAGAGGGCTTTCTGGGTCACCGGCTGCCTGTCTCTGTGTCCCTTCGTGTGCCACTCCCAGCAGCCTTGAGGGCTGCTTCCGGGAAGGAATAGAATGTAGCTTAATGACACCAGAAAGTGGGCAGCGTTCTCGCTCTGCTTCCCGGTCCTTTCCCACGGTCAGCACGTAAAACACAGCTTCTGAGCCCCTGCTACACGCCAGGCCCTCGTCCAGACAGTGGACGGGAGGGTGATGAAGGGATAGTTTCTTCCCTGAGGAAACTCGGGCCCATGCGGATACATGAATACCGAATCGTAACACCAGGCAGTGAGAGCTCTCGTGTGGCCCTCGGACCTACAGCATCACCTGGGAACTCGTTAGAAAGGTAGACTCTCGGGCTCTCCTTCTGGACGAGCCTACATTTTAATGAGATCCCTAGGTGATTCTCCTGCACGTTACAGTCTGAGAGACATTCTAGAACACACTTAAGCCCAGGTGCTGTGGGAACGGAGGGAAACGAGCAGCCGTAACTGCCCCGGAGGGGTTAACCGTTAAGTTGAGATTCGCAGGGTGAATAGAAGCGGACAGAGGTGGGGGTGAGCAGAGGCGGAAGGCGGAAGGCAGGGGGCCCAGGAGAGGCGAAGGGCCCTGAGGTAGGAGTGGGGTGAGCAAAGGCCCGGGGGTGGGGGGGAGAGGGGACCCAGGGTGTCCGGGGAACGGATTTGGAACAGAGCGTGGAGGGAAAGGCGGAGGAAACAGAGCTGGGGCTGAAGAAGTTGCAAGTGCCCCATCCTGACGAGGAGCGACTGGGCCAGCCAGGTGTGCGCACTGGAATGTTCTTCCTCGCTCTCCTCGGCCTGCCTCCCTCCTCTCTCTTATTTATGCACACCATTTGTGCACATGGAGAGCCAAAGACGTAGAAGACACTGTTCTTGAGGTGTTTAAATGTACTTGGGGTTGCTGAGAAGAATAAGGTGTGGGTCCTTGAAAATCTCGTCTGGGGCACTGGCGGGCCCTTCGGCCTGTGTTGAGGGGATGCTGACACGATCCGTTCTTCAGGGGGCGTGAGGGTGGTGATGAGTCAGACGGGTCTGTGTCATGAAGCGCAGATCACCTCTCCTCTCTGAGCCTCATGGACAAAGGGGAGAGGACAGGTCGCTGTTGTGCCGAGAAAAATAGGACCGGAACGTGCCATGTGGTTGGCGTTCCGTATACCTGAGGGCTTCCTTCTTTGCCGTTTCCCTCGGAAAGCACTAACAAACTATTGGCCCCTGTGGCACGAGCCACGGCCACGTTTCGCCCTTGAATAATATCATTGGCCTCCATCGTTGCGTGTTCTACACACCCCATCAACTGAACTATTGTTATTTCCCCAAAGTGAATTTGATAGAAAGCTCCAGCAATAACCTGCAAGTCTTCTCCGGAGCCGACAGCTGGACTTCCTTATCTTCCACACCCCACACCAGCATCCTGTCTGTACCCCACACCAGCGGGCCGATCAATCCAGGGCCTAGGTAAGACCAGCGCCGGCAACGTGCTCATTGGTGGTCTCGAGGTCTTGACATTAGCACTGGAGACTCAAGTTCATTCTTCTTCCTCGGGTGCCTTGGCCTAAGCCATTGTCCTGACTCCTGAGCCACTAGGAAGGGAACATGAAAACAGGATGGGCTTTTCACTTTCAGAGAGAAGGGAGGGGGAGAGCACGTTGAGACCCTGGATTGTCGGTGTTCTCCTAAGCCACCCATCCGAACAGGGGAACAGACGGTGGGTGCCTGGCCCGCAATCCAGGTAACAGGGCAGAATGTAGCATGCCGGACCCGAGGCGGAACTCCCACACTAGAGACCTGCATGTCGTTCGAACTTCTGGAGATCGGTGTGGGGAAAGGGACAGGGAGGGACCTTGGAGTTTGACGGACGCTGGCTTTAGTCCTGATTCTACCTGGTATGGGCTTTGTGGCTTCAGGCGGTTTCCTGAGCCTCACCGAGCGTCCGCTTTCTTATCGCTAAGATGGAAATGGTATGAGCGGCTCAGTAGGTTATGGTGAGCTCAGAAGGAGAACACACATTAAGATGCGTTGCAAGCAGGAGCGTTCCACGTAAACGTCCGCTGTTGCGTTCAGTTCCGTGTGCAGAGTTTTGAGAAGGTCCTAAAAGGGACCCAAAACGAAAAGGTGGGTCTTGGGAGATGTCTGATAACTTGTGATTTGCTGGTCTAGAAAATGTTAGGGGAACGTAGTGCTTTGGTCTACAGCAGGGCTGCTCACACTTGAATGGGTGTTAGTCTCACCTGGGAGGCGGGGGCTCGGTCGGTTAAGTGTCTGACTTCTGCTCGGGTCGTGGTCTCCTGGTTTGTGGGTTCGAGCCCTGCGTCGGGCTCTGTGCTGACAGTTCAGAGCCTGGAGCCTGCTTTGGATTCTGTGTCTCCCTCTCTCTCTGACCCTTTCCCGCTTGCACTCTCTCTCTCTCTCTCTCTCTCTCTCTCTCAAAAATAAGTAAACATTAAAAAAAAAAATCACCTGGGATGCTGTTAAAATGCACAATGTGGATGCCTGGGCGGCTCAGTTGGTTAAGCGTCTGACTCTTGATTTCGGCTCAGGTCATGATCTCACGGTGCGTGAGACTGAGCCCCACATCGGGCTCTGTGTCGACAGTGCGGAGCCGGCTTGGGATTCTCTCTATCTCCCCCTCTCTCTGCCCCTCCCCTGCTCACCGAGTCTCTCTCTCAACATAAGTAAGAACTCTAAAAAAATGCACAGTCTGATGGACAGATCTGGGCTGGAGCCTGAGATTCTGCATTTAACAAGCTTGCGGGGGTGTTGCTGGGGTTGCTAGGATCTTGATGGTTTTGATACTGATGGGGCTGTGGCGATCAGGGTCTAGCGCTGGGCTACCCCATGCAGCAGCCAGCGGTCGCCTGCGGAGACTGAACCCTTGAAATGCAGCAGGTCCCCATGGACGTGTACTGTGAGTACACGGAAGTCTGAAGACTGGGTAGGAAACAAAGAATTAAACATCTCAACTCTTTTTTTTTTTTTTTTTTTTTTACCTTGAATGCATGTTGAAATAATATTTTGCACGTTTTTGGTTCCATAAGATATTATTACCAATAAGTGCATTTTTTCCTTCTTTTTTCTTTTTTAAAATATGTGGCTGCTAGCAAACGAAGCCTGGCAGTTATGGCTCACGTTTTGTTCCTATCGGTCGGTACGCGGCTGGATTACCTAAAGGAAAAGCACGGGTTCGGGGTGTGGTGGCAGGAAGTGAGAAAGCGAGTCCTTGAAGATGGTAAACGATCACGTGGCAGGTTCCGTCCTAGATATCTTGTTCGTTGTTTACGGTATTCAGCGACATCCACGAGGCTGCCGTTAAAGTCCCTATTTTACTGTTGGAGAAACCGTAGCTCAGACACATTAAAGACGTCCTGAAGGTCATCCAGTAGGTGGTGTCACCAAGTGCTTGGTTCTCCCACTGGCCCACGAGGCATCAGGAAGGGGCCCTGCCGCGGGCGATGCCGTAGAAGAGACCTCTTCCAGAGGTCAGACCCCAAATCACAGCAGGCCAAGCGAGCCAACGAACAGACAGACAACAAGCAAACAGCCAGAGCATGGGCTTTTGCAGGTTTCGTGTGGCCCAGCCAGGTCTATAGTATCTGGACCATCGCACGGAGTGCAGGCTGGCGTTTCTGTTTCTAGTCTCCCCAGCAGCATTTTTAACCCGTTACCGACTCCCGTCGCGATTTTGCTGGAGAACAGCAAATGCGTCCAGTGCCGTCACTGCGCAACGAGCCCCTTCTCCCGTAGCTCACTATCAGGCAATAACAGAGACTCTAAAATGTCAGGACATCGCGATGGCTGAAGGCTTAGGGCGCTGGCATTTACCCGGCCTGTCCCGACCGCAGTCATTTCATCTACGTTCGGGCGCAAAATTTGCTGCGTGTTACTGTCGACCGGAAAGCTTTTAACAAGGCCTGATCCCCAAGCGGCACGCCAGACTGGTAAAAACCTGAGGCTCTCTGGCGGCGGGACCCAGGCGTCAGAGCTTGCTAAGTGGTTCCAGCAAGCAGTTGGGTTTGGGAGCCAGCAATGGAGGAGTTCATTATAACGCCCACCGTTGGGTGAGCGCCCCTTGCGAGGCCTCGTATCCTCGTTGTTGTCTAACCCTCGTGATAGCGTCTGTAACGTGCGCATTGTCATCACTCCAGATCTTGAAGGTGAGGAAGCCGAGGCTCAGAGGTATTGCCCAGACCAGGGTCTCGGGGGCAGTAAGCGGCAGACCGGGACGCGAGCCCGGGTTTTCCGACCCTGGGTGTTCCGATCGTTGTGTCCGTCACGTCCCCTCTCTTCCAGGGAGGGGTCTCACTCACAGGCTGGGCCCTCCGGGTCAGAGCTGAAGGAAAGCCGTGGCCGGGTCCTCGGTCCCGAGGCCCGAGCCCTCAGCAAGCGTCTGTGTCTCTGTCTCTGCAGCCCCTACCCGTGCCTGTGGACCATCAGTAACAGCGGCGGGGGCCCCGCCGGGCCGGGCCCAGACGTGCACGCCAGCTCCCCGGGGACGTTTCTCCTGGGGAGCCCGGCCGTGACTTCGCCCCTCTCTGCCCAGGCACCCGCTTCGGCCGGCGTGGAGGTTCTGGGGGAGCCTTCGCTGACCAGCATTGCCGTGTCCACCTGGACGGCGGTGGCCTCGCATCCCTTCTCGGGCTGGGGTGGCCCGGGTGGGGGAGGGCGCCATTCTCCCTCTTCACTGGATGGTTAGGCAGGATCCTAGGGAGGGTGTCGGTGGAGAACCTTCTATGCGTAGAGCTTTTAGAAACCCCACCTGCGGATCCCAGGAAGTTAGACTGCGGGGTCGCCTCACCCAGTGAGCTGGGGGGGGGGGGGGGGGGCGTGGCTTACGGGGGATGATTTAGTCTGATGAGGCTGTCTCTTTGCGCTCCCGTTTCTCTCTGCAGCTCATCTGCGACCCGCTTAGGTAACCAAAGCTCACTGAGCACCTCCCTCGGCCCTGCCCCTCACTCCCAAATGGTTCCAGAAGGCCCCACTTCCTGTTCTGTCTGAGCTCACCTGGCCTGAGGCTTTCCAGCCTCGTGCCGCCCTGTGAAGCATCTGTGGCCACCGGGCTTCTGATCTGAGGCCAAGGGAGGGCGTAAGGCCACCGAGTGACGTGAACGCGCAGAGAGCTAGTCACGGTTTACTCACAGCTCCGTGCCTGGGATGGAGGAGATGAGACCGTGACCTTCCCTTGCTCAGAAACCGTCCATGGCTCCCCGTTGCCTACAGCACGAAGTCCTACCTCCTGGCCGGAAGGACACCGTCGACCGGTGAGCCTCAAGCTTCCCTGCGTGACCCCATTAGCGTCCTACTTTTCCGTCGAGGTCGACGTTCTGCCTGTTGTCTCAACGTTCCGTGGACTTTGCCACCTCTGTGCCTTCTCGGCGCCTCAGCTGTCCTTCTCGGTTCCGTCCCGCCTCTGGGACTCCCGCCCCTCCCCCCCAGGGGCCGGCTGAGGCGTCACCCCTGAGGTGCCTGGGCACGAGTGATCCTGCCCCGCCGGTTTTTGCCTCCGTTTTGTGGAGCTCGCCCCATCCTGCCTTGTGTTTTTGTCACCTGTGAATGTGTCTCTCTCCCCCTAGATTGTGAACCCCTTGAGGGTGAGGACTAGCCTTCTCGTCTTTGTACCCCACAGCACCCGGTGTCTTGCCTATAGTAGGTGCCCAATAAACACTGGCCGAATGCAACTTGGCGTGCAGTGTGTGCGTGCTAGGAGGAGAGCCGTGCAGCTTGTGGGACGGCAGAGCTCAGAGACACGTGTCCGGGTCGGGGTACTGTGTCAGCGTGGGGAGCCCAGGAACACGCTGTGTTACCCAGGGCTCCTCGTCTGAGGCAGAGCCCACGGGCAGTGACTGAGGAGCCGGAGAAGGTGTGGGCAGAGCCGTTGCTTCCAAATACGGGTCCTTGGAGCCCCCCGTGCTGGGATCACCAGGGGCACCTGTTAGAAACACACATTCCAGGGGCGCCTGGGTTGAGCGTCCAGCTTCAGCTCAGGTCACGATCTCGCGGTCCGTAGGCTTGAGCCCCGCGTCGGGCTCTGGGCTGACGGTTCGAGCCTGGAACCCGTTTCGGATTCTGTGTCTCCCTCTCTCTCTGCTCCTCCCCTGCTCGTGCTCTCTCTCTCTCTCTCTCAAAAATAAATAAATAAACATTAAAAAAAAAAAAAAAAAAGAAACACGTTCCTGGGCACATTCCGTACCTACGGGATCAGCATCGTTAGGGCTGGAGTCCAGGAATCTGCCTTTCAAAACAGATCCTACAGAGCCAATTTTGGAACCTACTTGCCCAGACCAGAGAAATCGAGGGATAGGTACTACAGGAACCTGGCTTCAGATAAAAGTTTCTTTTTTAATTTTTTTTTTTTTACATTGATTTATTTTTGAGAAACAGAGTGAGACAAAGCGTGAACGGGGGAGGGGCAGAGAGAGAAGGAGACACAGATTCTGAAGCAGGCTCCAGGCTCTGAGCTGTCAGCACAGAGCCCGACGCGGGGCTCGAACTCACACAACCCCGGGAACGTGACCCGAGCTGAGGTCAGACAATTAGCCGATTGGTCCACCCAGGTGCCCCAAACCTGTGATGCTTTTTAAACACACGAAATGACAGCTGGTTCTGCATCGAGGGTCTCTATTTGCATGGTGTGGGCCATGCAGCCAGATCATTATGCTTTCTGGTGTTTTCTCCAGATAGTTCGGGGCTAATTTCTGCCTGGGAGAACAACCCTTGATTGCCTAAGTCATTTAATGACTGATGGAGTCTCTGACGTCCTAGACTAACTTTGGAGCTTTTTTTTAAAAATAAATATTTTAAAATGTTTATTATTTTTGAGAGAGAGAGAGAGAGAGACAAAGAGAGAGAGTGAGAGCGGGGGTAGGGCAGAGAGAGAGGAACACACAGAATCCGAAGCAGGCTCCAGGCTCTGAGCTGTCAGCACGGAGCCCGACGCAGGGCTTGAACTCGTGAACCATGAGATATGACCTGAGCTGAAGTCAGACGTGTAACCGACTGAGCCACCCAGGAGCTTTTACAGCACCTCCTTGCTCATGCAGCTCTTATAAGACAACAGTGACGTCGCTTCAGAGATTGAAGCCTGTCACACTGAGTTGAAGAGAAACGTAAATCGCACCGGAATAAAGAGTTAATACAATTCTTTTAGGCAGGCAGGCAGTAGAGATTTGTACCTCTCCCTAAAGCCTGCTCTGTCGAAGGTGTCTCCCCTCGTGGGGTCTTTATTTGGTCCGTGTGGCTTCCGCAGCCCTCCCCGCTCCCGGTGAGCCGGCCTCGCCACCAAAGGCCTCTGCCCGCCACACCATACCTATGCCAGGCCTTCCAGATGCTTCCGGGGGCTTCCTGTCGCTCCGGGGGCACCTCCTGGGACTGAGCGGAGGGGAGGGGAGGTGCTGATATGAGGAGAGTGTAAAAACTAGGCCGTTAAAACAAATCTCAATAAAAGATATTTGAGGCAGTGGGTGTTTGCCACTGTCCCCCAAGACTGGACTCGGTTTGGGTGAGTATGAGCGGGTTGAAATAGCGCATTTGTGCAGGATCTGGATTCTGGCTTAGGGACTGGGTGTCAAAGCTGGAGAATGGCACCTGGAGCATTCCTCTGGCATTTGTCTCAGCGCCCTCCCTCTTATTCGCTTTACCCCCTTCCCACCTTCCTGAGCCCCTTGCTGGCTCCTGGCCGGTTGGTGGGGTTGGTAGACCGAGTGAGCACGTGCTTCCTGGAGCAGAGGTCCGGGGGGTGGGGGGGTGGGGGGCGGATATGCGGTGCCGAAAAAGGTGCAGGGAAGAGCCTCTGTGGTCTGAGGGTATTAAATGTTTTTGAGCCTCGTTATAGAGACATGTTTGTCTGCCCGGCACCCCGGCCTTCTGGGACAAGAATTGCACCCCCCCTCCCCACACTCTTGGGGGGACTGCCTCCCCTCCTCCCGCTCGGCAGGCATTCAGTGGGCGGGGGGCAGGGGCCCACATTCCATTCCTGCTGAGTTGGTTGGTTTGGGGGTTTCTGTCACTCGCTGCGGGTGTCCCATTTGCACCGGCCCAACACGGTCACGCAGAGGCTCGTTAATTCCAAGTTTCACTGTGTTAGAGGCCACGTTAGGCCTGTGTGTTAGGCCTACACAAAGGCACCAAAAACGCTTTCAAGGTGGAGGAAATGGAGCTGAACCTTGCCATTTATCGTGAACAAAACGGAATTGGAAACACCTCTTAAGGCCAATGGTTAAAAACCGTGGCGAGTAGAAAGCTTTGTTAGTGCGCGGCTGATCTAAACTAGAAAAGGGAGATCATCCCTTTAGGTAAACACTTTCCCACGGGAGGGTCCAACATACGGTCTCTGCGGTCTCTACTGGCAAGATTCTGTGCTAAGCGCAAGGCACGCTCCAGATGGACCAACCTCTCTCTCTGGTTGGCTCGTGGAGGCTGTCTCCATGCTGGGGCTGGCTCCTGGTTCGGGCACGGTCAAGGTCCCACGGCTCTCAGCTCGTCTCCCTGGTGATAGCATACACATCCTGGCTCTTGGGCTGCTGTTAGGATCTTGGATCACGAGCACCAAAGTACAGAAGGGACCGGGAAGGGAAACTGTTGTTCTCCCTAGCAGAATCGAACCGAGATCCCCTTGGGTTGGCAATGGAGAGAGAATGTTCTATGAGGAGGGGCAGTTCGAGTTTCCAGCTTCTAGATTTCTGACCAATCTTTCAAATCACCATAGCCTCTACTGTGCTGGGCTCTATGGCTGGCTCAGGTGAGGACACATGACCATTCCACAGTGACCCACAAACCAGGCTGGAAGGTCTTTTTCTTTTTTCTAGAAGCTTAGTGCTTACAGGGGGAAACTAAACCTAACAGGTTACATACATTTAGAAAACTACCAAGTTTTTCTTCTACCAGGAATTCAACAACCTTCATTTTTCTTGGAATCTATTTAAGATGTTTTAAAATTTGTATAGAGATGTAACATTCAGGAAGTAAATAAACCTTAAGCGTATGGCTCGATGAATGCTTACAAATGAGACTACTTACAGAACTCTCGACAAGATCAAGGTATAGAATGTTTTCAGCAGCCCAGAAGGCTGCCCTTTTCCAAGGCGATACTCACCTCCAAGAGGAACACTCTTCTGACCATTAGTTTAACCTGTTCTTGACCTTCATATACATGGAATCCGATGGGAAGGACTGCTTTGCGTCTGAATTCTGTGTCTGTAGTTCCCTGTCGAGCTCCCACCCAGCCCTCCATTCTGGAAGATTATCTTTTCGCTCACTAGTCAAAATACTCTTAGCAGACAGTGAAATTCCTTCATCTCCAAACCAAGACTGATGCCCAGAAGAACGCTGGCATGTTTCTTCTGTGGTTTCCCACCTTCTCTCTGGATCACTGGCAGGGAGACTGTCTACCTTCTTTTCACAGATCCTTACTCTCTCCCTCTCCCCCAATGACGACCCCACCATGGCAAAGTAAATTTAGCCCCTGCACACTGCTGGTGGCCGAAGGGTGGTTTTGTCACGGGGGTTTTAGAATGCATCTATTGTAGTCCATTCACTTTTCAGATGAAAAAAACATTGGTTTAGCCTCACCCATGAATGGAGTCGGTCATAACAAGTGAGAGGATTTGAAAGCCAATGAAAAAGAACCCCCTAAGAATGTATCTCCTGGAGCCTGACCTACTCTAGTCCCACCCCCCCCGCCCCGCCCCAATTTGTGATTCTTTTGGGTCGAGACCAAAAAAACCAAACAAACCCTCTTCTATTATGTCAAGATTATCTGTGGCGAATATCTAGTTAATTTTTTCTTGCTTACAATACTGCCGGCCGTACAAATTATCAGGTCACTTAGCTAGTAATTAAGCGAGTTCCAGAGAGGAGGACATCAGATCGAGGTGAAGTGACTATTGATGGCTGCATCACACTTGGCTATGGGCGGCAGCCAAAGACAATAAGAAAGCACAGAATGAGGGGAGAATCAGCAGGTGTGGAGGGCGTGTAGCGATCATTTTTACCTGGGGCCGCTGTGTCCCCTTCCTCTGCAGTTGGTGGTGACGACAGAGAGGACCAGGGACAGGGCGCTAAATGAGCAAGTAACCCACTTCTAACTTGTAAATCACCGCGTGAGGACCCACCAAGCATCTGGAATTGGACTAGGGACAAGAGAATTGGCCATTTTTGTCGCCGAGGCTCAGCGGAGCTTGCATGGACAGGCAAGTGTTTGCATCTGTGCAGAAGACTTCTTTCCGAAGATTTTATTTTTAAGTAATCGCTCCACCCAGGGTGGGGCTCGAACTCACCACCCCAAGATCACGCGTCACACCGTCTGCCGACCGGGTCCGCCAGGCACCCCGGAGAGTTTTAAGTTTAATGCTGTAAGGAGTAAAGATTCTCTGCAGCGAAGATCTCAAAGACCAATACAGTTTCGCCTCTGGGGAATGTTGGCGTAAACAGCACAGAGGAAAGAGCACTGAGAGCAATGGGCACAGAGAGAGGGACGTGAATTTCCATCCCAGCTCTGGCACCGGCACGGAGCAACTCACGTCAGCGGACTTCAGTTTCCTCATCTGTATAAGACCGAGTCCCGTAGCAGCAGATTTGACAGAGTCAGATGGCATCCGTACCAGTCGGCGTTCCACTGGAGAGGCAGAACCGGTAGATCACATATGGATGTGTGCACGCGCGCGTGTGTGTGTGTTAGTCT